TGAAGTGGGAACCAGCGCCATTTGGGACCAAACTTCATCTAAGAGACTATTGAGAAGGTCACGATTATCTACAAGAATTTGGCTACTGCCCAAAGCCATCAGAAAAGTTATGTTGATAATCGTAGGCGACCCCTTGAATTCGCTGTTGCAGACCAGGTTTTCCTTAAGGTTTTTTTCCTATAAGGGAAAGATGTGGTTCAGGAAAAGAGGGAAGTTAAGGTCTCGTTATGTGGGACCTTTTTGGATGATTGAGCCCATTGGAATCGTGGCATACTGCTTTACTTTATCCCAAGGGTTTACAAGTTTACAAGACGTCTTTCACATCTCAATGCTCAAAAAGTACCACCCTGACCCTTTTCATATCATTTCTCACACTGAAATGCAGATACAATCGGACATGACGTGTGAGGAAATCCTCGCGGAGATTCTCAAACGGACCGACAATATCTTGCTCAACAAGGCAATTCCCATCGTGAAGGTACAGTTGCAACATCATACCCCAAAGGAAGCCACGTGGGAGTTAAAGAGTGAGATGAGAGAAAAGTACCCGAACTTGTTTGAGACAAATTTGGGGACCAAATTTTTCTAAAGTGGGGAGGATGTAACACCACACCTATTATTGTGCTTAATTAATTTGAAAAATCCTATTTCTTCGGGCCTTTAGGCTGTATTGAACTCATTTAATTTATTCCCCGAGTTATTATCGTAATTCATGAATTTTGTTGATTTTTAATTATTTAGATTTTATTTAATTTTATTAAATTTTAATTAATTTTATTTAATTTAAATATTGTATTTATTTTATTTTATTCTATTTTATTTCAGTATAAAAAAATAAAATTTCGAAAAAAGGGCAAAATAGGAGAAATCCTGCGAAAATATTCTGTGGGGAAAAGGAGCTGCCCACGCAGGCGTCTGCGCATTGTGCGCACGCGCGTGCACAGCTGGCACGGGACGTGCGCATTGTGCGCACGCGCGTGCACAGCTGGCACGGGACGTGCGCATTGTGCGCACGCGCGTGCACAGCTGGCACGGGACGTGCGCACAGCACGCATGTGCCATCCGCGCATGGTGTGAGGTCAACCATGCGTGCTCCTGGCGCGCATAGGCGAGCCATCCATGCGACACCTAGCACGCGGACAGGCACTGCACACTGTGCGTGCGCCATCCACGCAACACCTCGTGCATGGACAGGCACCGCACACTACGCCCACGCCATCCCTGCAACAAGCCTGTGTGAACAAGCCCCTTTGCGCCTGGGGCCTACACGAAGTAGGCCTGCATGCGCAGGCTAGCTCCTATGCGAGCGACATAAGGG